ATAACAGTAAGAAAAGCAATTTCAGGCTTTCTCTTTGTTTGTATTTTATGCAGCTTCGGATCAGCTTGTTTAATGTATGATTTTCTGCTAAACTTTATCACTAACATAGGTGATTTTAATTATCAGTAACTGATTGCAAAACTGGCAAGTGATCAGATCAGAGTTTTGTGGCAGACAGGTAAAACTGTCCAGTTATCAAATAGGAGCCTTCTGATTGACTGGAAAGTCAGCCAACTATGAAAGAGGATATGTACAGTATTGTTAAACCTTTATTGATTTTTAAAATATTTCTCTATTCTTAAACATGAAGGATTGACTAGACTTATTGATTAACCAATCACACTAAATGAAATATATCTGACAGTTTTATTGCGACACTCGTTTTTATGATTTAATAAGTATAATTTATACCAGATTTAAATTGCAATTACATGGATAGATTATGTTTTGCTATGGGCTAGGTATCAGCATCTTGCTTAAAGCTAATCTGGGATTTGTCTGAATCTAATACAGGGAGATTCGTAACTGGAGTCTAATACCAATTTCATCCAGTAATCAGAGATGTGTTACTGACCTTTGGAAACTCCACTCCACTCTGATCTACTGAGTTCTTATGAGCCACAGAGATGTTTTCTGGTTACTAGAGAGGGTTACGATTCGAGATTATCGTGATTATCCCATTCAACTCACCTAGTACTCAGCGCCTTGGGACGTCCTCCCGCTGTGAAAGGCGTTATACAAATGCCATTTTGTTGTTGTTATACTCTCAAAGAAAAATTGTGGTTAGTGGGGTTGTGGATAAATTAATAAAAGACAACAGAGATAAAGACATGAAAAATAAAAATTCTCCAGTCCTGTTAATAATAATTCTTGCATTTCAATAATTCCTGCATTTGATACAGCGGCTTATCACGTTTTCGAGATGCCTCAAAGCGCTTCACGGGATATTATTGTAAAGTGAAGTGACTATGTGTTTTGTGGGTGAAATATGGTGGACAATCCAAGTCAGGTCAAACATCCTTCATGTGGGTAGCATCTCAGTCCTCCTCTCATTGCTCACTGACTCCGGACCTTGGTGCGCTTAGCGTAGGCTACACTGCTCCTCTCTGTGCTCGTCGCTCAGTTAATCCGCAGACCCCGACCCTGCACAGCCCCCTCCCCGGTCGCCTTCTTAGTCTGGTCTGTCTGTCAGGATTGGTGGAGGCCGCTGAAGTTTTCTCTCCGACAATAAGATATGATGGGTAAACTGACTACATTCAATAGATCTCACTCAGTGTTCCAGTTCAGTTTTCTCAACCCCAGCCCCCCCCCAGTTACAATACTTCAGTGTCTTAATTATTATCTCTCCCCCCCACCACTTCCTGATTACAATACATTAGTGTCTTAATTATATCGAGAATCTTTAAAATTAAAAGGAATAATAGTTGAATACAAAAGCACAGGTTAAGATGAAGCTTCTCCGATGGGATCAGCCTGTTTAAATAATAATAACTATTGCATTTGCTAGAGCGCTTTATCACATTCATCAAGACGTTTCAGAGTCGGGCAGGACCTTTGCTGTGAAGTGTAGTGACTGTGCATTTTGTAGGTGAATATTCACCACAGGAAACAGACGACGACTGGGATTGTTCTGATTGGTGGGCACGGATAGGATCACGACAAGGATCATAATCCAGTAAGGACCATCTGCCTTTAAGTTTTGGTTCCCGGCTCAAACTTAGGAACGTGCCAGAGTGCTAGACAGTTGCAAGATACAAGAGAGCTGGACGCTGGCTCAGTTTGAACACGAGGCACAAGGGACTATGACTATGCTAAATGCAGAAAATATGGTTCTGGGTGTCGGGTGTTAAATTGTTGAACTCAGCACCCAGGCTGCAAAGATATGTATAAAAATGCAGGCGTCACTGAGCGGGTGGCAAACTATGACTGCAGTCCTTGGACATTAGATTGGAACCGACTAATGCAAGTTCATGGTATGATTACTAATCGCGGCCGACAAGATCACAAGATTGGTCTGGATGAGGAAGGCCCTTCAGCCTCATCCCTCCAGAACAAACCCCATATTCTCCCTTCATTGCATCAAGCTGTTTTTTTTAAATAAGTCCAGTGTCCTGGCCTCCAGCACCTTTCTCATGTCTCGTGTTCTGGCCATTGATTAGCCTCTGTATTAAAAAAATACACTTCCTTGCATCTGACCTGAATAAAGAATTGAACACAATGAGGTGCTTGAGGTGAGGAATTAATTAAACGAAATAGTGTTAATTTGTTTCCTTTATTTGAGTATTTATTAAAGAGCGAAGCCGAATTACTTAGTTTTGAATCATTATTCAATCATTCACTGATTATCTATTTGCCTCCAGTCTCCAATATAGTCAAACCAAATCATTATTTATGAATGCAAATCTATTTAATCTTTTACTAATACGGTATCAAATTAGTTTGAAACATTTGAAATACCAACTCATTCGTATCTCTAGATGTCTTGTCAGCTGGTTGACTTGCAATACAGGCAGCACTAACTTAATAATCTGCCTTTTTTATAATATATGGAGCAACCAAGGCAAACTGAGGGAACAGGGAATAAAAGATGAACTCTTGAGCATACATTTGAAATTTCGTACGGGCTTTAGTTAGCATAAAATCTTTAAAAAATAGATCTGCATAGCATTTTTCTCCACTATGAATCTGTTTAATTTCACTCTCTTACTTGTTATGCATCCCCTTTAATGTTTCTCCTTTTCAAACTGTCTGATTCCCTTTTAAAATGGTCCAAGGACTCCAGCTCAGCTCTAGTTTGTGGCAGAGAATTACACATTCTCACTGTACACATTTGTTTTCTAACCTCTGATTCTTTTTGTGATCATCTTAAATTTGTGCCCTTCAGTTACTGATTTGCCAACCTGTAGCACTACATTTCTATTCATCTCAAACCCCGATCATCAACCAGTTCATTCCTCAACCGTCTCAGCTCTTGTGAAAATAGCCTAACATTTCAAATCACTCTTCGGGATTGCACATCCTTTAACATGTGGCCATACAGCAGATGTCACTGTAGCTCCAGTCAGTATCAATGGACAAAATGAGCAGACAGTAGGGTGATAGCGTCTTTACAGAATAAGGTTAGAATTGTGCTGTATAATTAAAATATTTTAGGGAAGTGTTTGGACAGATCACCCTCACCCAGCTCCACGAAAATACCTTGAACACCAGCAATTTAAAATGTTTACATGGACAGAGAGGCGGAACGATGGCTATAGAATCACATCTTTAGAAAATAATATTCTGGATTTATACTCCAAGGTAAGTAATGCCCCGAAAGAAAACAAAACTACTGTAGAGTTACTTCTCCCTTCTCAGTTATTTTCTGGAAGTATAAGTATGGGGAAGACATTTTGAAAAGTTTAAAAAGCTGCATCCCTGAAAATAATCTTTCATCTCAAAAACCCCACCACTGATTAAGATGATTGTTAATCATTTACCTCACATCCAGATGCAATGCTCGAGTCATACATACTCAAACAATGTAAAATATGTAAATCCAATATTTGCGGTAAACATACTTCAGTTACTTCCACATGCAGACAAACGGTGCAGAACATTTGGTTAAGCGACGTGTAATTTAAGTGTTGCCTGCTGAGCCAAGGTATCATACAATTTAGTAATTTACTGAAGGATTTAAGTAGGAGTAGGTTTAATTTCCTGATAAGCATGACATGTAAATGATCCGGTAAGGCTAAGAAAACTTTGAACGAAAAACTTTAGATGTTATATTTAAGTGCAAATTATATTTTTTAAATATAAACACATTTTAATGGCAAGCTAAATTTGAGCTTGCACTAGTATGAAATATCCTTGCATTAGGGAAGTAGTAAAACATTGCAAAAATTATAGGGGAAATTAAAGGTTACATTGGCGTGAAGGAAATGTGCACTTTTAACCCTTGTAGAATAAATCGAAGATTATGCAACACAGCATAACCTCCCTGAACTAAATGTTCGTTCTAATTGGATATTCATGTCACTGCTGGGAACTGTCACACACCAAATGGTCTAGTGTTACATGTTAAGATATGTAAATCGTTGTGCTCATGCATCACTTCATTGAGCTTCATAAAAATCAGATTTATCTTAACTTTGTAGTGCTGTGATTAGCTGAAGTGTGCCCGAGTACTGTATAAACAGGTCTCCACACTAAACAACCAATGTCTTTTCAATTTCCTCAATATCAGTTGCCTTTAGCAATTTAACAACAGTACTAAAATTGTAGCAGGTAAAACAATTGAGTATGAAACTTGTAAAAACAAACTGGAAAATAGGAATATTTAAACTGGTGAAATTGGACACAAGAACATATGCTACAACCAAATGTGCTTTGAACATCCTTATTGGTGTCTTTTTTGTATACCATCACTGAAAAAAATGAAAGTGCATTGTTCCTAGGGGCAATTTCCTTGTCACGTCAGTCCATTTTAGATCATTAGTTTGTAAATACAGAATTTCATTTAACATTCAGAAAGACAGGCAAGTTATTTAAATCAACTTAATTTTATGCAACATACTGAGTGTATAGTTCAACTGTGGTAACCGCAGCTGTGACTCTTTTAACGATCCCAATAAATCCTCTTTGAATCACAGACAGGAAGAGAATTATGCAAATGATATATTAAGCAATCTGACTGAATGTAATGTTCTGTGAATACTGGATTCTTAAAAAAAAAATCAGGAAAGTCACACACCTGAAAATTGGAAAATTAATGATTCACTGAAACAAGATTAAAATGGTACAGCAAAAACCCAAGAACAAAAAACAATATTTACAAGTTTATTAAGAAATGAGATTATAGTCCACCATAATCAAAGATGAAATGTGTACTATTTACAAATCACACAAAAAAGACATGATGAGGAAACAGTATACAAAAATAAAAATGAGAAATCAATGCAAATGTATCCTACATTATACATTTATTCATTGATTTAAACTAATTATACCTCAATTTTCAGCAATTGAGTTTTTTTTACAATGCATTTTACAATTTAAAGGAACAGTGCAAGTGCAATACAAAGCTGTATGATGGCTTTAGATATTCTATGTAAAACATCTTGTTGTATCCTTCATTAGATTTTAGGTCTCCTATATAAAAAAAACTTAAAATATACTGACTTATGGCTATCTCAATCAAGGACATGCCATTCTATTGTGATTTCTGAAGTCTAATGAAGCTGGCAACATTGAGAAGTGCTCCAGTCTTCAGCCCAATGCGCTCAACACCCCATTCCTACCATGTGGTCTAGTCAAAGGAGCCCCTTAGCCCAACAGCTTCTACAAAAACTATTTTAAAAGTCTAATTAGCAGTCTGTCCTTTAAGGAATCAGCAGAAAAGGATTTTCTCCATAACCACTCATTCCTGTAAGACATCGACATATTCTGGCAATCGAAAACAAATAAGATGTAATCAATGTATTCTTATCTTATGGATCCAATTAGTTAATAGTACCAACTGTGATAAAACACAAGTATGATTTTTTTGGAAAAACGCTATTGTATGAAAAGGTAAGATTAATAAAAATATTTAAATAGGAATAAGGGAATATAAGGTGACTGGATCAGGAAGCATTCATTTTACAGCTATTGAAGAATTTTCAAGAATAATTTTGGACCAGATTCAGTTTCACTGATTAGATGCTGGAACTGGATAAAATATCTTCAACTAAGCGCTTGTACACCCAGGCATCACCCTTCAGTCGCTGTCTTCTGATGCCAATCACTTCAGGCTTGCTGAGTTGACACATCTCAAGCTCAAATTGCATAGTTACCTTTCCGAAGTCTGATCTAGTTTGGCATTTTAACGTATAACTGTGAAAATAAGGTAAAGTTCAGCAATCACATCTACGGCATCATTACATTTACAAAATTGATTATGCTAACATTCCATGCATTGGTGCAAAAACAAGACTTGACACAATGAGCAGTTTTCCTTAACACTGAAGGTGGTGACTTATGTTAGATACCAAGTAATCATTCTCCTTGTGACAGCTGGACCTTTAGTAGATGTTCAATCACAAGGGCAATGCTAATCCCTCCCTCATCACCACACTTCCAAGTGGATAGCAAGCAGGAATGAGACATTGTTTTAGTCCACATTGTCAAGGCTAATTGTAGCAATGTTTCTCTTCCTCTTTCCTGGCTGAGAGATTTAAGAAATGATTGAGAAATAAACATATTAAGGGATATACTAGAAAGACAGGGACCCAGTAATAAATAGGATATTGATGGGCCAAATAACCTTCTATTCCTACGCTTTCCTCTCCCTGCTCAAATGAGTTAATTCAGCAGATTGGATATCAACCCTGGGACATTGCTGATCCTTTATGGCTTAGTACCACCGCAGATGCTGCATTCATTCACGGAGCCCTGAAGACAGCTGCCATGTTTTATTCTTTGTCCATGTACAGATATCTAGCTGAGACACCACAAAAATTATTTACTCTAAAAAAAGGATACATTAATCACATACTGCAGAATCATCTAATATCTATTTTACTTCCAAATCTGATGTTACTTTGCCACTTACTAAAACATTTCATATATTTTCAAGCAAAAGATTTAAGTCATGATATTGCCTTCAATGGTATGGATATAACATCTTCACACATTGCAGTAGCAATCACCACAAAAATGCTCTGATATATCTAGAATAAATTTATATCTGAATATTTGAGGAAAACCGGACATTGGAAATGAAACTCCATCACTCTATGGATTGAAATAGTGTAAAGCCGATTCATGAATTATATATTTATATATTGCCCTTCACACGAGTAGCATGTCAGAGTACTTTGACGTCAAGCTAGAAAGAGGTGATCAAAGCACAGTCGAAGAGGAAAGTCTTCTATTATGATTTCAATTTAGGCAAAGAGGGGCAAGACAGAGATTCAGGCAGAGTTGTTGAAATCACAGCCACGAATGGTGGTGCAGAGGCAAGAGGGGCACACAGAAGACCCAAGGCAGCTGAGTGATGGCTATGGATAGCCCAGTCGGATGTGAGCAGAACAGAGGTAGGGAGGAACCAGGGCATGAAGTGATTTGAAATAGAAAGTGAGAATCTTGGGGGAAAAAAAAGATTTGTTCTGCAACATGGAGCCAGTGGTGCCTAGGAAGGTTTGGGGTGATGGGAGTGTGGAGCCTGCAACAGGTGGGGACACAAGCGGCAAAGTTTTGTAACGTTTGGATTTTGTTTACCGTGGAGCAGGGGAGACAGGTGAGGAGGACATTGGAAAAATAAAATCGATAGAACAAAGGTGGGTGTTGTGGTAGAGGAAGGCAGTTCTGGTCAGGGACCAGATGTGAGGTAGGAAATATAACTGGGTATCAAACCTGATGCCAAGGTTTGGTAAGTCTGAGGGATAGGAAAGAAAGGTTAAGGAGTTCAGAACCATAGGTGAGAAGATCTTGATATGAACTGAGAAGGATGGCTTCATTCTTGCTGATGGTCAGCTGCAGAAAGTCTGTGCTCATCCAGGCCTTGATGTCAGACAAGCAGACAGTCAGAACATCGGTAGGACTGGAGTCACAACTAGAGGAGGAAAAATAGATTTGGGCATCATCTGCATACATGTGGATGTTGACCACATCACAGCAAATTATATTATTAAAAAGGAGCATGTAAATCAGAAAAATGAGAGGCAGAGGGAACTGTGGTCATAGAGATAGAGAACAGCATTTGTAACCTTGACAGTCTTAGTGTTGCACCCAGGGCAGAAACCAGACTTGAGGGTCTCAAGAAGTGAGTGGGAGGAAAGATGTAAGTGAAGTTGGGCAACATGTTCCAGGACTTTAGAAAGGAAGGGCAGGTCTGAGATGGGTTGTAGTTAGGGGAGTTTGACAGATCAAGGGTAGGTTTTTGAGTGGGATGATGATAGAAGTTTTGAATCACAGTATGGATATCACACCGTTATAATAAGAGTATCATGGCTATAATCATCTATTTATGGTCTATAGTCAATTAATCACTATAATCACTGTCAATTAAACCCAAATAGAATCAAACGTACCATATGATCTTAACAGTATCTATTAAGCGTTCTGGGACACTACTCTGCGTGAAGGGCGCTATATAAATGCAAGTTGTTTTTATCTGTTTATTGCCATTATTTCAAGGATGTAAACTGATTATTACATTACATAAATTCTAAAGTCAACTTGATTTAAGAGATCTTGGGCCACTGATAATACTTTTTAGACACTTATTATAACGCTTATATATCAATTCCAAAAATCATAATTGAATTGGTCCATTTGTTAAACACTTTACGATTAGAAATTCGACAATTGCTTCCCTACTTGCAATTCCCAAATGTGCATCACCAAAGATTTGTCAATCTGCTCTTTCAATCAGATAAAAATCATATTTGGTGTGCCTGAACTTGATGAATTTCAGTTGACAAGTTGAGAAGGTAACAGTTAGACTCAAGCCTACATGTTAACAGGTTCCATGATTAACGTGCATTAATGAGAAGAAAATGAAATCCAATAATTTCCAGTCTAAAGCACCTAATCCCAAAGGGTTGGAGAAATATTTATCCTCAATTCTCACTCGTGAAAGATTGCTAAGAGCAGGATGTGCTCTTCACCAGCTAACACATGATCATCACACCTGGCTAATTTTTCATTTGTTTATGTTGGCAGGTAGTTTCAATTAGTTTTCTGAAATATTACTATACGATTGTTGATGTGCAACACTAAGCAGTTTTAGTACTTCAGAAAACTATTGGCAGGAGGGGAAAGCCAATCTGGTAGTTTGGCACTAGAATCTATATTGCCAGACAGCCATGAATGATGTTCACGGCAGATTTCAGCTGAGTGCTTCAAAATATTGGCTTGCTTTAGAGGATAAAAAAACACAGCCCTTTACGAAACAAAATGGGAACAGTTAATGAACAAACCTAACTAAAATATTAGAAGGCAACTATTTTACACTAACAGCACATCCCACATCAAACAGTTCTAATCTCAGGACCTGGAATCATTAATACAACAGCACCACCTACAGGAATGAGGAGAGAATCAGTTTTGAACCAAAGATTGATTGGTGTTTTTGTTTATGTGGTAGATTTAAAACATTCAGTGTACCAACGAACTATATGCAAAGATGGCTACAAAATATCTTTCAGCATGAGATGATCACAAATGCAGTGTTGCTTTATTCCTGACTAATAATGCATTTGTGCATTATATTTCGTTTCAACTTGGATTTATGATGTTAAGATTTTGTCTTAGATGTGTTTTATATAAATGTATATATTACTTCCTTACCATTATACTCTATTCCTCTCGATATAATGCCAAGGATTCAATTTGCATGCCTTATGCCTTTGTCAGCCAGATGTCAGCCTGGCTCAGTGGGTAGCACTGTAGCCTCTGAATCAGAAAGCTTGGATTCAAGCCCACATCAGACTTTGAACTCACAATCTAGGCTGACACTCCAATGCAGTGCTGGTAGTGTGCTGCATTGTTGGAGATGCTGTCCTACGGATACAACCTTAAACCAAGGTCCCATCTGCCCATGCAAATGAGCATTAAAGATCCCATAGCACTATTTGATAAGAGAAGGGGGTTTCTCCTGGCGTCCTGGCCAACACTCCCCCAAATAAAATTGGTTATTCACTTCATGAAAAGCGATCCGCCAATTGACTAACATCCTACTTACTGCTAGGTAAACAGAGGAGTGTGGAGTAAGGAAACTTCCCTAAGGTTTCGCACGGCCGGGAATCAAACTCCGGTCTCTCGCTTGTGAGACAAGTGCTCTTTAATGCAGAATAGTCACTAAATTGCTTGTCTTTCATTGACTTTGTCAAAAGTCTGACACATTGTTATATTAATTAGGCTTTAATCTTTGTATGTACGTGGTTGTAATATAGAAATAATGTCTTCCGAATCGATACATTTCCTCTCTAATGTTTTACAATACTACTTCACAAATACATTCAAAACGTGTACGAATTTCACAAGATTAGTTCAGATGAAGAAGGCACTTCCACTTGATCTCATGTTTGGTCACCTGACCTCAACCTCCCTCCTGGTAACCTGTCCCAGTCATTAATTATCCTATTAGTAAAAAAAATACTTCCTGGTGTCCTGAAATAGCCCTTGACAAATCTGAACCTCTGTCCGCCTATTCTACTGTCTTGGTGCATCTGAAAGTATTGTTCTGGGTTTACTTTCTCAATTCCATTAAAAAAATACAAACCTCTATCAGATCCACTGGCTATCACCAAAGCAAGATTTTTAAATCTATTTAGTATGTAAAAATATATAAATGGATGCAAAAATAACTTTGAAAAAGACAACTAATCCAATGTTGAATGCAAGCTCCCTAATGAGAGCAGGTAAAGGTACTGCCCTATATGGCTAGTAGAAGGCCACATAAGTTACAGGGTCAAATCATGGAATGTGCCTGTGTTTTCTGTTAGGGAGAACTTCCAGGCCGAAAATAAGACAGGGATCACTCTAATAGCTAATCAGAGTTCTACTGTAAGATGCATATTTATGTCAGATGACCAAAGAATCAGGTTCATTAATAGTGCACTTGTGTGGTCAAATGGCCCATCAACACTTAAACAAGGGACTTACATAAAGTTCAACTGAACAAAATCTAATGAACCATTCCTCAGTGGTGGAAGCGTGAAACCATCCCTTTCTAAGAAATGCATACTGTCATGAATGTCTGGGTGAAACACTGAATGATTCCCAACATTCATTAACGTGTTCTCCATAGAAAGGTATTAAGTCACATTCAAATGTGCGGGAGAAGATTTTTTTTTAGAAAAATAGTTGTAGGTAAATGGAACAAGTTATCAACAGAAGTATTAGAACAAAGAGCAGTAAAGGATTTAAAAAAGCACCTTGATGGGTTATTGGAAATTGAAACAATTAAGTTATTAGAAGATGACTAAGTAGATTGTCAAAGGAAATGATAGGGAAATTGGATGAGATAATTTGGATATTCCTGCCTGAAAACGTTACTAAGAGGAGGAAAAGGAAACAAAAGTAATGAGAAGCAATACTTAAGTCAGGAATATTCACGTAATGGAGTTACGAAATCAATGAGCCACTTTTTAAAAAAATAACATACGTCTGTCTCATTTGAATATGAACTTTAAAAGCTAGGTTGCATTAATATGAAAATAAGTAGCAAAACACATACCCTTTTTGCACAAAGTCAATCCTTTTACTTGACAAGACACCAATTATCTCATTGAGAACTTCATCTGCATTCAGCATGGTGGTTGTAGTTACATTATATTGTGCCTGAGAAAAAAAAGTACAGTATTTTATATAACAATGGAAATTAAGAAAAATGACAGTGCTACTTACAGTGAAAATGCCAATATGGTCATTCATTTGTCATAGAACAGAATGACCAGAGTTATAATGAGGTGATAACCCATGTATGAAAATAAGACTATTAGTTTTCTAACATTTAACATGTAAAGGAGAATCTGATCACCTATTAGATTAAGTTCAATTCCAGGCAGGGCGAAACCTTGGGCAAGTTTCCTTACTCCACACAGAGCCTAATAATAATCCCTCCAAAACCAAAAACAATAATAAATTGGTCATTTTCAATCCATGACTGTTTGTGGGACATTGCTGTGCGCAATTGGCTGCCGCGTTCGCCCACAAATATACAGTCAATTCACTTTACAGTGTGTTCTGTGAAGCGCTTTGGGACGTCCTCCCGACGTGAAAAGCCCTATATCAAATGCAACGATTATTATTATTATTATTATTAAGGGCACTGCCAAATTCAACCCCGACTCAAATAAGTTGCTATGATATTCAGATTCATAAAAATAGCCCACCTAAAATTTTCTAACATATTACACTGCTTGTACAAGTGACCTCTTAAAACTTCGTTTAAACATTATGTCACTACTTAATAGGCAAGGTTGTGCTTTGGATATGGGAGTCATAAATCCATGATGAAAGAAGTCACCTAGGGACAGTAACAGGAAACAAATTCCTACTGTTTCAAAGAGTCTTTCAGTGAAGATCCTGGATTTGGATGATCAATCATAGTTGTCCAATAAATTGTACATAGACAATCAAATACGGTGCTTGATTTAGACGCCCAAACAAATGATTCTACAACAACAACAACAACAACAAGATTCCATTTATAGAGCGCCTTTCACGTCGGGAGGATGTCCCAAGGTGCTGGACAGTTGGGTCAGCACCCGAGCAGGGAGGAAATGGTCAGGGTGAGGGGAGGGAAGGAGCGAGGAGGGGGTAGAGAGTTGAGAGGGGAGCTGAAGGCACGGTCAAAGGGAAAGGTCTTGAGACCGACCTTGTGTATAAATGCTACTGTAGAAGACAGATTGGTGATTTTATAATATTTTTATACCAAAATTTCCATGGGTTGACCTTTTACTGGGCTATTTGATGATTTCTCCCAATAGGTTATCATGATTCAATTACTTAGTTGACTGTAGCAGCTAGTTCACGACAATGTGGCAAAACTAAACTGATAGCTTGCTTTACTTTGTTCAGGGACTCTTACAACTTTGCAGTACATGCAGAACTGTCTGTCAGCTTGGACTTCAAGGGCTGACTGCTCCATCAATATGGTTGTAAGACAAGATAAGAAGAGTTGCCTCATATCCAATGACTATGTCAAAGCAAGCCTCCAAAAATCTTGATCACTATAGAATCTGTCGTGGGCAACATTTTCTTTGCAAGCACATTTTTAGAATGGTTGCTTGCACAGCACAAATATAAACATAGAAACTCTGTACTTGTGATTCTTCTCGAGTCTTGGTGAACCAAATTAGATGTTGGTTTGCACTGTTACAAGGGGATTGAATTCTCTCCTGACCCGCAATAATGCCTTAAAACACAAGGAAAATCAACCCAGAAAGTAGCCATCATATCTGTACCACACAACCTCTTATATCACCCTTTTTTTTGCATTGCATTTTTTTTTGCATTTGACTAATCATTACATAATCAAGGTCAGCAGTAATTCTCTCTGCACATGTTCAAAGTTAGCATAACTTGTATATTAGACCCCAATGTCATGATCTTCTCAGAATACCACACCTCACATAAAAACTTGAGATGACCTTTAAAAGGTCAATAAAAACAAGCTCAAAAAAATTCCAAAAACACCTTCTACGCTTAAAACTGAGAAGAATAACTCCTGTCCAATTTGACTTAATTTCTTAAGAGTAACAAAACACGATAATGTTTCTTAGTAAGATCTATGGTATACTGATATCAAAATTAAAAGCACCTTATGTAAATGGAGTTGCAGAAACGATTGGATCAAAAGCCTTGAGACACTGGGTAGAGCTTATTTGCATTTCTTTATGGTATCCAATGACTGCCATGAAAAATGGGCAAGTAGATCATGTAATTTTCTGGCCAAAAATCAAAATAAACACAGAAGATCAACAACAACTTGCATTTATATAGCGCCCTTCACACGGGGTAGCGTCCCGGAGACCAAGTCAATATAATATGAAGGACAGCTGCCTGCTCTTCCCCTCCCCACAACCCCTCAGACTCTATTTCAGAAAGAATGTAGATGAACAAAAGAGAGAGAAATAAGTCAACAGTAATATTGGGCCTGAAGCCAGACAAAAACAGCCACTACAACCAGCAGGACCATCAGTTTATAAAGAGAACAACCACGTGCCTAAGGCCAGCCACACCCCCCTGGACCAAGACCAAATAAATTGCAGCGATCCTAAACCATGTAAGGCCTCCAGTGTATGCATATCCATGCCAATAAACTCAATGTACCTCCCTGAAAGCACCGTGCAATTAAAAGTACAATTGCTTCACACAAAACGAGTCTGAATGAAAAATCTGAAAATTAATAAAAGTTACCAGAACAAAAAAAAATGACCCCAGTGGGCAAAGGCTCCCTGCTGCCTGTGACAATCAATTCCAGCTGAAGCCAATGACACAGAACCTTAAACAATCATCGTACACCCAGAGGCCAAAGAAACAGCAAAATGTTCCCGAACAGTAATCTTGTTCCAACTGAGTATTTTTAGAATTGTTTTCCTTAGAACTGTTTTCGGAATTGATATACTAATTCAATCCCTGCAGAATACAAAGGGGCATAAGATATCAGAGATGAAGATCCCTTCTTCCCAATGGTTAAGTACAATTAATTCATATTTTCCTCAATTTGTCATCAGCTATTTTTTCCAGAGAAGTCAAAAATCAATATGAAAGGCATTATGTACTGATATAAAATGCTATCAATATTATTATCTTATATCGCAGTATCCATTGTCCAGTAATGCAAAGCAAGTCTGGAACTCATTGCAATGAAAAATCACAAAGGTTTTTCTTTATTTCAGTGTTTGGGGGGTTAACAAGAGAGCAGGGGCAGCCACTGCTTCTGATCTTGGATATGGTGTCTGAGTTCATCCATTTTGTTTACCCAAAATAGTATTAATTTTTACTTTATACTTATTTGAATTTTAATAGTTTTTTTTTAAAACACATGTAGCATTTTTACTGACAACTACATACTGATGACGGTACAGTATTCTGTTATCTCATGAGGGGCCGATTCAGATTGAGCAGCTTGAGCTAGAACCAATACTTGATCCGATTCAGTTTGGAAATTCAGTCTTTGCATTACAATTTGATTTTTCGAGATAGTCTCAAAACTGGAGTCAAAATCACCAATTGACTTTGCTGTGCAAAATATAAGCAAAAACTCAGTACTCACCTTGAGGTCAATCAATCTTGACCAGCTGGATACTGAGTGGAGTGATTAAATGTTATGTATATGCAACTTATTCTTGACCACACTAAATTTCCTATATTGTTCCAAGACTTGAGATAAATTTCCAGACAGATGCACTCACTTTTGTATGCAAGGCTCTCATGAAACCATCCTTCGTCTAGAAGTTAAGGAATTTTTGAATCTTAACTTCTAAGAGATTTAGAAATATGTATTTAAACATGGTTACATTTGCTATTTAGAACAATTAATAGTCTGTTCTTTTTGTGAGGTTTTGCCTTTATTAGGAGTCGTGTAGCTCAGTGGTTAGAGCACTCGCCTCGCAAGCGAGAGACCTGGGTTCGATTCCCGGTAGGGTGAAATGTTGGGGAAGTTTCCGGTTGTTAGTCAATTGGCAGATCGCTTTTCCCGGGGTAATAATTCCTTCAAAAAAGAGTAATAATAGTAAATTGGTCACTTCAATCTACGTTTGTGGAACACTACTGTGCACAAATGGCTGTCAGATTTTGCCCACAAAATACAGTCATTGTATTGACTGTAATTATTTCTTTTTGAATAAATTGCGCAGTCACCTCCAGTACAAAAGAGATTTTATATCCTAAGGATCCCTTTGGGAACCTTGTTAAAAACTGTTTTTAAAAGATTCTGAAATAAAAAAGGCACTGACTTCCATTCAGCACAATTCTACAAACCCTATCCCCAAATTTATTATAATTAACAATCCCAATAAACTCACCATACAAATGTAGAGACTTGCTTATAGCTTTGATGTAACTACCCATGGATGTAACTACCTATGGTTCCATTTCAACTATGCAATAATGAACCTATATAGCCAGCATGATCTTTATTGTAGTGAGGAACAGGGCTCATGGATATGCTGTGCCTTACACAAAACCAAAAGGTTTCCCCATGTAAAGACAGAAATATTGGCTAGATCTGTGTGTGTGTGGGGGGGGGGGGGGGAAGAGAAAGAGGGAGTTAATTAAAGGAAATCCAAAACTTATGCAAGACAAAAATATCAAACATCCTGGACTCTGGCAATCAGAGGGCGGTATCAATATCAACCACCCCCCTAGGATGCTTTTAAATCAGAATGATACAAGTTCATCAAGTAATCTTTAGCCATAATTTCCCCTTCAGGATGTCTAGCCTTCAGGAGTCTCACTATCATTTGCAGAAGGTTATCAAACTCCCTGGAAGATTTAAAGTAGGAGGTTGGCTTGAGGACATGTTTTATCTTATGAAAGATACACCACACTAGTCTGAAAGTTTGCTCCTTCATGTTAGACCCGAGTTCAATTCCAGGCAGAGGGCGAAACCTTGGGCAAGTTTCCTTACTCCACACAGAGCCTAATAATAATCCCTCCAAAACCAAAAACAATAATAAATTGGTCATTTTCAATCTACGACTGTTTGTGGGACATTGCTGTGCGCAATTGGCTGCCGCGTTTGCCCACAAATATACAGTCAATTCACTTTACAGTGTGTTCTGTGAAGCGCTTTGGGACGTCCTCCCGACGTGAAAAGCGCTATATCAAATGCAAGGATTATTATTATTATTATGCATTCTAGAAACAAGGATTGCCTTCAGTTTGATGAACTTTCTATTCTTCTAGTCACGAAAGTTCTGCAATAGTTCCAAAACCTCACACATGAGACTCAGCAAACTCCCAACACTGCCACATCGAAAAATCTACCAAAGTACAACTTTGAAAACACTAGGGGGAGTAGTTGGATGCATGGTAGCATCCGGTTCAATACAATATAGCTGAAAATGGCAGACCCATTAATTTCCACACTGACTATACAGTTTATCCAATTATACGTTGGAAATGACAAAACCACATTTTATCTAGTTTTGTTTAAACACCAAATTTATAAGCAAGACCATTTCGTCTCATTATTCGAATCAAAATTCAGCATATTTGCTGAAAAATACCTCTGTAGAAAAATACAATTTCATGTTGACAAACAAAACACGGCCCTCATAATAAGCATTACAATTGACAAACTGGATTAAATGCAATTGTTGCATGGGATCCTTCAGAAGGAACGGAGGGTATAAACCAATAAAGCTCAGCATAATGCAGTAACAGAACAATATTTTCCACGGGGAAGAACTTTAATTTGCGCCTTCCAAGCTTAAAATTATTAGGTTGGTAGACAAGGTTCATTCAATCCAATATCCATCTCCACATGACATATGGTGAACTTATATTTTTATAAATAATATATATTATATACATAAACTAAATCAGTTATTTCACATATTAAATTCAGTATTAAATCAAAGTTTAGTATTTTGGAAACCTACTTCATATTAGATTCTTGGCAATGAGTTCTCAATTAACGTTCACATAGTCAAACAAGAAACTTTCTCCCTCGGCCACCTTTAAATAGAATTGTGTATGTTTGCATACATGAGGGAGAAGGAAATAAGAGTACGAGTGAGGTGAAGATGTATGTGGGGTATAAACACGGGCACAGACTAGTTGGGCTGAATGGCTCGTTTCTGTTCTGTAACATCCTAAAAATCCTAATTCTATATAGAGTAAAAGTGGTCTTCAGTAAAATAATTTAATAAATGAACTGATTAGAAGTAAATTGACTCAAAGAGCCATGAAATACAAAATATACAGTCAATTTACTTTATACTGAATATACTGATATTCTGTGAAGCGCTTTGAGACGTCTCGAAGACGTGATGAGGCGCTACATTAAATGTAAGGATTATTATATAATGTAGTGAGATTTTGGCATTCAAATTGTGCAGTGTGACTTAACCGTGTCATCTTATCTTTAAAATCTACGAAATGAAGTATTGTGGCTAAACTTTAAACCCACCTTGATTTTTCTTGGACCCTCTTTCCAAGGCTTTTTCAGTTTGTTTGGAGTTAACATTGTGATCATTTTGTCCAGGCCTCGTTCCAAGCTTCCAAACATTTTTGTTCCTTTCTTTTTCTGACTACTGCCCCCATTAGCTTGATTTAGGTCCATGTCCAGTGAACGGGTTCTGTACAACACAACAGCATCTCACCATACAAAGCAAGTTCTTTCATTTAAAACATGCAAGATAGGAAAACACTCAAAACATCAAAGAACACAAAGATCTTGCATTTACAATAAAAATAAAATGTACTGAAGCATTTAACACTCAACCTGGATGGGAGAACTACATCATTTGTGTCTCAGCCTGGCTCAGTTGGTTGCATTCACCAAGTCTGAAGGTTGTGGGTTCAAGCCCCACACCAGGACCTGGATCTCATATAGTCGAGACTGACACTCCAATGCAGTGCTGGGGATGTGCTGCATTGTTGGAGTTGATGTGTTGTAGTTGAAACGTAAACCCAAGGCCCCATCTGCCTGTTCAGGTGGCCATTAAAGATCCCATGGTACTATTCAAAGAGGAGCGTTTCTCCCGGGGTCCTGGCCAACAATCCCCCAAACTAAAATTGGTCATTCACTTCACAGCTGTTCATGTATATACAGTGCACAGAAATTGGCTACTGTGTTTGGCGACAAAACACAATCACTATACTTTCCAGTTTATCCTGTGAAGCGCTTTAAAAAGACCTCAAGATTTTAAATCAGCCTATCACCCTCGTTCTCGCCTGTTGGCTCTCCATCCCCCAGTGGAATGAGTTCAAGATCCTCGTTCTCACCTTTCAATCCCTCCAGTCTCACCCCATTCTACTCTGTGACCTCCTCAAATCCTACCGATCTGGCCAAATCAACAAATAAATACTGATGTGCATTACATACCGTCTTTCTGGACTAAGTGCTGTGACTGTCAGGTCTTCCGAGTTAAGCACGCGTAAACCTTGGTTTATAGGCATTTCCATAGTGCAGCTGATCATGGCTGATAGTTAAGGTGAGGGTGGGGGGGAAGAAAGTTAAATATAAAAACCATATTTCATAGCAATTTGAGTACAATTTTATAGTAACTCATCATGATTACTACCAACTTTGACAATATTACCAACAAGATATTTAGTAAATATACTGAACTTCAAAATATGTGCAGCAGGAAGTACAGTATTTACATTACAGAAATAATTTGTACACACAGTAGTGATTCATACTCAAGCTTATTCAACAAAAAATGGCACACTTTCAAGTCAAAATAATTTCAGCAATTAAAGTCATAATTCTTCACAAGCAAAAAGTTTAGAGGCAAATCTTGAGTTGGACAAAACATTCAGTTCTTTTGAGAGAAGGAACTGAATGTTTTGTCCAACTTCACATTTGCATTCTTATTTCTTAAATAAGGCATCACAAATGGGAAATACAGAAATTTAGGTTTTTGACATTTTCCACATTTTGGAAACGCTGTTCGCTTCACTTTGAGCTTTTAAATATTAATCTCTGAACAAAACAAAGCCATTCAAATCATACTTTATTCACCATTATTCTAACTTTCCAAGATGCAAAGGTTATTAAGTGCCAAAAGCAGATTTGGAAATGATTCTACATTACAATACAGAATGGACTCTTTAAAAAAAACTTTCCAGTATATTGTATGAAAAACTGAAACAGACATGCTCTGGGACACTACCCTGCGTGAGGAGCACTAAATAAATGCAAATTGTTTTTGCAAGGTGCTAATACCAAATAAGGACCATCATTTATTATTAACAAGCAAATTAAATTTCATGAAAGAGTGAGCATCGTTTCCGCAAAGGTAGTGGTTGCTGTGTTGGTCTGGATGTTAGTTGTCAGATTGCTTTCTGGGGGTAATAACCCCACAAAAATAATAATGCATTTGGTCACTTACTCCATGACTGTTTGTGGGACACTGCTATGCACAATTGGCTACTGCATTTCACGCACAAAATACACAAGTCAATTCACTTTCCAATATATTCTGTGAAGCACTTTGAGATGTCTCAATGACGTGAAAAGGCACTGTATCAAATGCGAGGATTATAGGACTATTATTAATCACAGGTCTGGATGGATGTGCGACACAATGGGAACATCACAATACATTACATAGATGTCAGATCACTGCAAAATGTTTGGATCAGAATCTATGCTTAGTGCTGCCAGGTTTACATGCATTTACTGGATGCAATTACATTTCTGTCTTCCCGGGAAAGGTTCGTCCACCGGAGCAGGTTGAAAAATGGGAAACCTTTTTGTAAATCTTGGAACTTCAAAAACTGTTAGAGGAGTTTTTTTTGCTCTATCCGGTAAGCCAAAACTTAGAAAAGTTGAGCAAGTGCGATATGCTACTGTCAAGTAATGGTGTGCTCCAACAAATCAGAATAAACCTCAAGAGGAGATGAAAGGTGCAGATTCTAACCTTTGGCCTCCAGCACATTGTTTTGATTTTAAAAAAATCAAAAAACAGTGGCACTAAATTGCCTGTTTGTGGAAGAAAGCATTCACCTGTTTCAGCCATTTACACACATTTTGCCAAGATCTCAACATTTTAGCAAAATGACCTCCAACCTTTGTACATTTATAGCTGCTCTTATTAATGTGGTGCCCTCTGGTGCCTCTCCTCACTGCTCATTACATATGTGAGCCTTTGCAATGCCCCACAATACCTCGCAGATTGGAAAACTTAAATAGTCATATTTAGTTTGTTAATATTTCTTCAAAGATGCTGTAATGCAGTGGGGTTTTGTTAGTGGCTGGAAATCTAGCTGCATTATGTTTAATATGGTGGTAGTCCTGTAGCTTAGGTTAGACCAGCTGCCTCGCAAGCGAGAACCTGGGTTCAATTCCCAGGCAGGGCGAAACCTGCAATAGTAATAATCTTTGTATTTGATATAACGCCTTATCACGTTTTCAAGACGTCTCAAAGCGCTTCACAGAATATACAGTGAATTGACTGTATTTTGTGGGCGAAAGCAAGTTTCTTTACTCCACATGCTTCTGTTTACCTGGCGGTAAGTAGGAATCTGGCTTTCAGTCGATTGGCGGATCGTAATAATCCCATCAAAAAAATAATTTGGTCACTCAATCCACGACTGTTTGTTAGACATTGCTGTGCACAATTGGTTGCTGCGTTTTGTCCACAAAAAATATACAATAGCAATGGCGGAGAGGTGTGCAAAGATGATCGGAGCAGCGTTGGAGAGAAGACGTGTCCGCTCAGGCACACCTCCGTCTCAGGATGCTTAGCGACAGGCTCAAGATTTGCAGGTGGGAGCAATTTATACCCAATTTTGTGTTCGGTGCAACATTACAGTGATTCAAAGAGAAAGCGACTCAGCGAGAGAGAGAAGGTAATAACACTCACTGGACTCAGTGGTTTAAGCCACGAACAATTCTTAGTTCATTAATTACAAAAATCTAAGTTATAACAAAACTTGCCTTTAGTAGCAGCCTCGGTATCTTGTTTTGGAGTAACCAGAGTCCTCTTTTCATAATTTTTCTTAGCGACTGGTGTTTTGACTTGAGGTTGTAGAAAGTGAACTTCGCTTTTCACATTTGTTTTAACTTGGTTTATATTTTCTTTGTTTTCATTTCCAGACTTATTTGAAGCAACTTTTTGTTTACCTGATGACCAGAGCTCACCTCCTCCACAATCTTTTTGTGTTTTACATCTTACTCGCTGAAATTTAAAAAAAATCCAACTGATGATGTAACGAAACTCAACTTGTAATTAACAGATTGTAATGGACAGCAACCACTGTATATAGATAAAAAAATGGAAACTCATGAAACATAGCAACCTAGAAAACCAGGAACCGTATTAGGCCGTTCAGCCTACTGAGTCTGTTCCATCTTGCAGCACAATCCCAATGACTTTTGTAGTACCCCTTTAATACTTCTACTATCTAAATATCCATCTTTCTTAACATCATTATTGATTCCACCTCTAGTTTTCTGGGGCCGAGTATTGCACATTCAAAACCCTCTATGTGAAGAAATGCTTCCTGATCTCAGTTAACATAATCTTATGACTTTAAGGCTACGTCCCTTTGAGGACATGATAAACATGAGAATTATGGCATCATGTTCAATTATTTTATAAGAATGTACTGTTGCCGTACATTTTTCACTATCTACAGTGAGACACCATTCCCTACATAGCAAGTGGTAAGCAGATTGAGGCAATTGGTTATTATCACAATGGTCATTTCAGTTAGCCACAGGATGGGACCAAAGTGGGGGGTGGGGGAGACTTTGAACTAAGTCCTCTTTAAAGAAAGAATCTACAAATATATACAGCTTATTTAAAGCCTGCACTACACTTGAATAATCATTGCCAATTTATTTCACTTTCTTCATCAAGTGGGCATTGATAAAAGGGGTAGGTCATATTAGACATACAAAAAGTTATTGTACTGGCAGCAAAATCTTATTAAAGTGCATTTTTCATTCTCACCAACAATTGACACTGGTAGAACATCTTTCATGTTGAAAGAACATCTCAAACGCTTTACGAAGTTGAGCTGGAATGGGATCGCAGGAGATTGCAGACAGGATAGAGCAGGGATGGGAAGGTATTCTCCTAAATATGCTGGTGCGTATTGGACTACTCTTCTACTTTTATGTGCGAGTCTGGAGAATATACTTTGACAGGCTATGCAATTGTGAGGGACATTTCCACCAACCGATTCTATCCATGCACGTGCACCAATCAACAGGGGTCACTTCATGAGTGCTTAAGACCAGGTACTCTAACTGGGAGAACTCCCCATTCTTCAAAATATTGATGGAATCTTCAATACCCATCTGATCCATCATAAGAGGGAGTAATATTGCTTTAATGGCTCATCCAAAGACTGAGGGGGGGGAAAAAAAGCTTCCAATAGGTCCTCTAAACCACTTTCGAGCCATCAATCTACCTCACCATTTGAAAACCTGAAATGTGCAAATCAGACCATTGGTTTTACCATTCAAATTTATAAGTTGAATTAATCAGATTCCCACCTGCCTGACAGATTGCCATAGAAAAGCCATTATCCTCACCAACTTGGTGGCATTGTTCAACATGCAATTCTCCACTCCATAACCTTGGTGAAAATTCCCCTATAATAACTCAAGGCAATTGTCTATAATGGTGCAATTCTTACTTGCAGTACAGTATTCTCTGAAAACGATCTTGCTGAAGAATAGAGTTGAAAATGGTAAGGATGATTATGAGCAGACTATATAACATTCAACACAAATACGTCAACAACACAAACCTCTGTGAGATGGGGTGCCACAGCAAGAGGAGAATCCATAAATTCCATGGAGCCACATACATAAGAGATGTCATCCTCAAAATTCAAATTCCCTTTAAACTAGTAAATGGGTTTCAAGTTAGTTTAAAACATTCAAGGATCAAGCAAAATGTTAGCTCATCTTTCTTTAGTAATGCATCTAAATATATATCCATGCCGAACCTTACATAAAATTCCAACGGGTGGAACCTTTGCTCAACAGGAAGGGATCAGCTGCGGACAGGAGGATGGTGGCATTACTCTCGCATTTCATGCTGAGCTGCATTGCCCACCAGCTGAACTGGCTCCAAGGTGACATGTTTGGCCAAGGAATATCGGAATTGAGTCAGTCCTCTGTGGCGGTCTCGGTAGTCCAGTTCCTGAGCCAGGCGGGTCCTCAGCACGGGGCACTGCTGATGACAGCACAGCCAGCCTGGTTTACTGCAGGACCTGGAGGAGCAGACCAGTCTCTGCAATTCCTCCCACTCAGCTCCTGTTAACTCAACAAGTCAAAACCCTAACAAGTAGGGTGGTCCTAACTGAACAAATACTGGAAAGCTTGTCAGACAGTGCTTTCAATGGCAGGCTATGTAGTTGTAGCTGGTTAAACTCTAATATTACGCACGTTCTGGAGTCTCCAAGTCTTAACTTTTGCTAGTCTGCACCTAATATTCTCTGGAATTAGGTAAGCAGGCTGCATCCCTTCCTCCATAGAGAGTGTGTGCATTACCTTCCATTACACAGTAATTTCTATATGTGGGTGGGAGGCACAGAACTGTGTTTGGTTTGGATACTCTTAAGCTTGGTGATGGGTTTCCACATGTGTCAGACACCTGGCTGACCAAAAGAAAGTTTGTGAAGCCTGGTGCGGGAGACACCACCAACTGCAGAGTTCTGGGTGATCTGCAGCTTGTATACGGGCCAAGAATCTTCTGTTCCAAGCCCAGTGCTCAAGTGACTGGCCTGCCCGGGCAATGCTCAATCACCACTGCTCAATCACCAATTTCTCCTCCCTTCTGTCTCTGGTTTACTCCCCACCTCTCCCCGTCCCCCCCAGTAAATTATACATAGCAATGAATTATAAGATTACAGTTTTGGTTGGAGAGTCAGAGACAATGTGCAGTTTACAGTAATTGAGAGCAGGATGTCACATCTCAAAATCAGTTGATTTCTTTCCCACACAAACAAAATATAGCATCTTTAAAAGTTAGTATTTTAATTAATTAAAAAGGCAAAAAAAAGGTTCATTTTTTTAAAATTCTCTAAAAGAATTGCTCACCTTCAGTTCTCCAAGAGGAGTTGTGGGCACATCTTGCTTTTCAGAGCAAGAAAACAGTCGAATGGGTTTGCCGTGGATCTTCTTATGAAAGAGCAGTAAGTATGCTGCTGTTATTCGATCATATTTCCACTACATAAATAAATGGATAAATAATAAATCATAGTCAAACCTAACAAAATCATTTCCTCACACTCACGTACAAATCACCTGATGCCCTGGTACCTTCCCTCCCTATCAGTCCTGCTTACACCCCACTCCTTTTACCCCCCACCCCCACTCCGCTCGCTCAGCTGGCTCCGGCCTTCTGCACATCCCTTATTATGCAGCAGGCTCTTACCTCTGCCACCAAACTGGCCATGTTCTTTTTAGAGCGCCTGAAGAACACAGATAGTTCTGTAACACAGTTCTCATCAAGATGGCCAATCTGCAAGTGAAAATATATTCAATATTCTAAGTTGCATAATCACTGAAAGATTATATTTATAGGACCTCAATTGTAAGTGAAACATTAACAAACATTAGTACACTCACTGGGTATCTGGTGTGCCATTCAACTGGGCTAGAGTAACCTTGCATAAGCCAAGGGTGATTCAGAAGTTGTTTTACTGAAACACGCCTACTTGGATCCACCTGTTGAAAAAAAGTCACAACTGCATAGATACATAGACTTGTAGATTTCTTAAGGCAAAATGATTTTGATTTGAACGCATTTACCTGCAACATTTGTTTCAAAATCAGTTCACTACCAGGAGAAAGCCATTTAGGTATGCTATATTTTCCTTTCTGAAAAAACAGAACACCCAAGTTAGAAAATATGATCTGCCTACCTTACCTCACGTGTTCTTACCTCACAGGATTCTCCACTTACCCAGCTGACAATTGGGAGAATTGAAAACGAACCATTCGTAAAGGCATTGATAATTTACATTAATGCATTGAATTATGTGCATGCACTTTTTAAAAAATATATGCAATTTGCCTTTATATAGCACTCTTCATGTCTCGCAACATCTTGGAAATCTAATCTATTTGCTGTTGGTGGGTGGCTCTAATTAGGATCTCTTTAAATTTTTAATAAAAAAAGCTACAAAACCCCATTGACACACCCTTCTGATAATCTGTAATATTCCAAAGAAGGATAGCTGTGTAAATATTGAAGCTTTGCAAAGGTTTCAAATACAAAGACTTTGTAAAACTCAGGGTGGTAAAGTGGGCTTTCACTATCACTCAGTAACTGTTCTTTGATCTAAACTTTAAAGAAGTTTGTTCAGGTGTCTATTCAGATAAGGAATAATACCTAGAACTTGGGGACGTATAAATCATTGGAAATAAAATACCTAACAAAATTTTCCTAGTTTACAGGAACTTTTTTTTCAAAACAGCCATGGGGAAATAATTGTATTTACCTACAATCTGAATGGTTACTCTGAACTTTAGGAAGCCTGACTTGAAATACAAGTACTGGTCCGACTGAACAAGTTTCCAAGTAGTCCCACAGCAAAGTGCTCATTACTTGTGATTTCAAGTTCCAGCAGAGGGTAGTTGTGAAGATCATGCAACATTTTCAATTGTATCATTAGGTTTACATCCAATTTACTGAAAATGAAGTTGCTGTTCCACATGACTAAATAGGTCAACAGCAGCAATAAAATTGCGAAATCTGGTCTACAATATTGACATTAAAAAACGTATTTGAATAAAAGATGACATAACAAGCCTTTTACTTAGGTTACTGATCATCTACAGCAAGGCAAAAACTACTTACTATTATTTTCCTATACAGAGTCACAATATTATCATCATCAAACGGGAGAAAGCCACACAAGAGTGCGTACAAGAGCACCCCCATACTCCAAATATCTGCCTGTTAAAATCAAGAACACAAATAGGGGTTACTTAATACAAAGTATATTATCCTGAAACATAGAAATTGCCCATATGATGAATAAAGAATTTGTATTTGAACAGATTGAGTGACAATCGTAACATTGAGTTACTATCGATGGGAAATGAATAGCTTCTTTCTTCAGAGATAATCCTTTATTACATTCTTATGTCACATCTTGAGCTGCAGTCAACTCCTTCAACTAAGGACAGAATAATTTAGAATATAAAACCACTCCACAATACAAGAAAATAGAGAAGAGAAAACTATAGCTTATCTGGTGGCCTTACAGCAAACTCATTAACATCTTAACCCATTTTCAATTTTTTATTTATAACCACAAATGTGGAGAAGCCAGAATGGAGGATTGCACATGCCAAGAAAACAAATCATGGTGTGAGGTTACACTTCTACAAATAGCTACTAAAACATGTAATAAGACCAATTCATCTGATAACTAATCATATTGGACAGCTGACACTTAATTTATTCCCGATTCTATAATTCGGATTTCAAGAACCTTGAAGCAAGCTCTTTGTACTTGGAATTTACCTACCCAGCAGTCGACTCCATTAACTGAATAGAAAGGCACTGGGGTTTAGAAGTGGAATACATTTTAGCTGTACACGCACACACACAAAAAAAAAATCAGAAAGCCCTGGCCTTTAAGATGTCATAATTATGACTCACATTGGCCATGCAAATCCTTTTTCATTCTACAGACCATAAGGAAGCTTCATCCACACCCCACCACAGGTTCTCAGGTGGCTTGTCAAGTTTATCCACTTAGCTGCTCTAAGATTGTCAGCCTTGGAAGTTTACATTCAAATTTCCTGCATGGATCTGGAGACAATTCCACAGCAGGGTGGTTGGTGCCATCAGTGTCAGTCAGCGTTGATTTGCTCTTGGGCTGTCTTGGTTTCTCTTGAATAAATGATCCCAAACTACTGAGGTTGATATAAATCGTAGACAGATTGGACATGCCCCAACATCACGCTTTGAAGAAGGCACTTCAGACAGCATTTGCAATGTTTAAGCACAACTGAATTTATGTATTCCTTGAAGCCAGACATGCTGACAGTCAGCACTGGTCAGGGTCAGCATCGATAAACACAGAAGTGAGGCAATCTTCCACACACTTAAAAAAAAGGAAGTGAAACTATTCTACACTGGCACATACTACACATGAAGACAAACAAGAAATCTGAAACCTTTTTATAGGCAACCCAAACATAATAATCCATGCATTTGATACTGAGCCTCATCACATCAAAAGCATCAGATTTTTTTTCTGTGAAGTGCAATGACTGTACTTGCAGGCCAATGCAATAGCCAATCTGCACAGAAAAGTATCCCACAGTCAGCAGATAAATGACCAATAAACTGGAAGATTTTTGTCCACGAGATGAGGTATGGGGAAAGGGCAGGTAAGTGAAACTGAATGGGTGGCTCAAGGTTTTAGTTCATACTGTGTTCAGTTTTGGGCAACCCACCTCAGGAAAGATATGCTGGCCACGGAGGGGTAGTGCAGATTCACCAGAATTATGTCATGGCTTAAACGGTTAAATCATCAGGACAGCTTGTATTCCCATTAGTTTAGAAGGTCGAGGGGTGAAGTAGGGAAGAAAAGCAATGTTGGACTGGAATAAAGTGTAATGACTAGAAACATTGGAACTAGTGCTTTGACAAATGTGTTCATTCTTTAATGCCACTCAAGTGACTTGTAGAGAATGTGTCAGGTCAGTTAGAATCAGTCTTGTGAAGGTGCTAACCACATACAGCATTAAAATTGTAATCCATTGTCTCAACCTGTGGAAGAATAGGATTTCTAGTACAACATGTTATCAAAGATTTCCAATACTGTTTATATTGGGAAAACATCTTACCTCAGATCCAATATAAGCCTTCCCCTGAATGAGTTCAGGGGCTGCATAAGCAGGGCTACCACAGCATGTCATTAACTGGTAATCTAAACCACCCTACAGCAAAGAGAGAATCAAAACCAGAATTAGATGCAAACATCTACCAAATGAATATTGTCACAAATGTAAAACTTGCAATTGTGTTTGTCCTCAGGAAAATTAACAAAACATTCCACTTTTGTTTTTAACAGATATTTTTTGCATTAATTAAGGCTTATGGTTTTACAGTAAGGGCAGCTCTGGAGGGGGAACAGTAAAGAAGGAATGGCAACTAGACTGAGAACTGGAATTAGGCATTTGGATTCGGAGGAGAAGCAATAGAAGCTGGAATATTTGCCTTAAAGACTGAGGAGATCTTATTTAATTATTTAAGATCCTTAAAAAAATCAAGATGAACTGAACTGCAGCAATGTGCTTAACTTCTTCTGGGACTTTCACCCCTCCTCTCTCTCCCCATCGCTGACCTAGAATAATCCTGGTCATAATTCTTCGAATTCTTCTAATAATAATCCTTGCACTTGATATAGTACGTTTCCAAGTACTTCAAAGCCGTTACTGTGAAGTGTACGGACTACTTTGTAGACAAAATAGTTCTCTAGTTGATTCTTTTTTAAAAATCTGGATCTTTAGTTGGTACGGTTGAAAAAAATGTATTACAATTTATTTTGTTGTAATGATTATACCTAAATGTAATAATAATAATCCTTGCATTTGATATAGCAAATGCAAGGGAGCAAATGCAGCCTGAATCTTAATTAAGTTGAAGTTAATTTACAAGATAAGTTTGGAACAGGCTTTTTACAGCTGTTTACTGGAGCTTCACCTACCTTTGGTTTGGCACACAAGCCAAAATCAATCAGCTTCAAATTATGATCTTCATCTATTAGCAGATTTTCCTGTTGAAAAAAAGTCTGTAAATTATTTAAGCCTTAATTTATGTTTTATGTGCACTTAGTTTAGACTTCTCTTCCCTGTAAATTTACAGTTGATTGTAAATTTACAAATCACCATTTTACTGCTAAAAACATTACCAGCAAAGTTATCAGAATTATAGTAAACTTACATTTATATGCCATCTCACATTTTAAAAAATAGGGGTCTTGATGGTTTTACAAATTAAAGTTGTTTAGAAATGGCAATTGTTAAGACAAAACATTTATAATACATAAAACTACAGAAAGTTGAATTGAAAATAATATACATTTGCAGAAATTATTTCACATGAAGCAATAATAATAATAATAATAATAATAATAATCCTTGCATTTGATATAGCGCTTTTCACGTCGGGAGGACGTCCCAAAGCGCTTCACAGAATATACTGTAAAGTGAATTGACTGTATATTGTGGGCGAACGCGGCAGCCAATTGCGCACAGCAATGTCCCACAAACAGTCGTAGATTGAAAATGACCAATTTATTATTTTTTGGGTTTTTTGGAGGGATTATTATTAGGCGTGTGGAGTAAGGAAACTTGCCCAAGGTTTCGCCCTGCCTGGAATTGAACCCAGGTGTCTTGCTTGCAAAGCAAGTGCTCTAACCACTGAGCTACAGGACTCCACAAATAGTAGCACAAACTAGTAGTGAAAATGTGTAAAGATTAGAAAATGAGCAATCCATATACAGTCTGCTAAACTAAGAAGGAACAAACCAAGAAAAAATAAGAGAAAGAACAATGAACAACAAAAAAAAACAGGCTGATGTTAAGTATCACCAAAGAAAGCTGTATAATGGTTTCTGCTCCCACCACCCACCCCACTGCACAAAGGTGAGGAAACAAGTATGGAGGTAGAGTTGGAATAATTGGAAAAAATGCTAAGGTAAAAAGGTACAACTAATAAACATTCCCAAGCAAATAACATTATAGCTAATTGGGACATTTAGCAATAATGTTATTTGCTGGTGTGAAAGGGTTATACAAACATAATTTGTTGTTGTTGAATACATTTAAGGACCTTCCGGAAACATTAAAATGGATATTAAAATGAGACTCCTTTGTAGGATCTCCTTCATCTAGTGTGCAATTTTTTTAGGAGCTACTTTATACCAATAATAAGACTAATTTGAAGCGTTCCAACTAAGGATGGTATTCCTCTTTAAGTAAGATTAATAAAATACTTACATTAGGTATAGCGTTTTTCATGGCAAGAGGTGCTTTGAAGGATATACTGTAAAGTGGAGTATTCTGTGGGCAAACATGGCAGCATAGCTCAATGCCCCACAAACAGCCATGAAGTGAATGACCAATTTTATTTGAGAAATTGTTGGCCAGGACATCGTGAGAACCAAACTTAAGCATTACGGAGGGTACTCAATTTGATAAGCTAAAAGCAGACACTACACAAAAATAAAGACATCCCCTCATATAAATATATAAACCCAATACCGGTTTCAGGTCACGATGAGCATAGCCTTGGCTGTGCACATAAGCCACAGCAGATACAATCTGACGAAAGAATGTCCGAGTTTCTTCTTCCGATAGCCTGTCTTTAGCAATAATGTAATCAAACAATTCCCCACCAGGGCAGTACTGTAAGAAAACATTTATAGCGTGAGATAGGAAAGCAATCCAAAACAGTAAAGTTCAATGTTTCATTAACCTTGTTTCAAAAAGATTTATTTCACTTTATAAAACGTGTCATTTTAATGTCCAAATAATTTTACTAGCCATCGCCTGCTTTGTTGAGGGGAAGAAGGGTTCATAAAGCAGAGGGTCCTTGGCAGGCCATCTCAACTGGTGTTCAGGCAGAGCGATTGCTCCCACATCTGATATGGCAGCAAATGTGCCGCTGAAGTCCAGGAGGGATTCTTCTTTCCCTTCCCCTGGGCAGTCAGTTCCAGCAAGGCATAACCTTCCTCCTGTGCATCAGAAAGTCGTGTACCTAACCACCCACAGGCTTGAGGATGGACAGGTGGATCTCATTGCACCATCGCTCTCATCCATACATCACCCTAGTGTTCTGGTCACTGCGCCCACTAAAGCCTTCTCCTGCTGCAGGTTGATCTGAGTTACAGCCACCTGGTTGATCCTGCCATTAGCATATGTTTGTTTCAGAGATTAAGCCATACAAAAAGGACATAGGGTTGGTACAGCAAAACTGCAGTTGGCTTGTTAAATCAGTTATGGTTCCTTTCAGCACTCCCATCTATTTCTTGGATAAATGGTAATTCCAGAGCTAATACATGCCAATGACCTGTTAGAGGTCATTGCCAAGTGTTCCGGAACTCTTACCCGTGTGAAAGCCGTTATATAAATGCAAGTTGTTATTGTGGTAGAGATCTTTCAAATTAAGAGGGGTGGTACTTAATGGTCAATGAGGAAAATTATTTCTGCTGGTTGGTGAGTCAGTGACTAGAGAATATGTTTAATGAGTAGTACAAATAGATATTGTGAATTTAAAGTTTCCCGATTCAATTACCTCTAGGATCATGAAGATCTTTTGCGATGTTTCTATAACATGGTACAAACGGCAAACGTGCTGGTGACTCAGATTCTTCATTGCTTCAATTTCAGTTTGAACACGTGGTAAGTCGGCCTTTGAGAAAAAACAAGTGTTAAAATCATGTTACAAGTTATTTACTTTTGGTAAAGAAGTAATTTATTCAAGGTAAACTACTTTCTCCCCTTAGTCTTCACCCTCACTCCACAAAATGTTAGGTTAGTTTTAAATTACAGTAAAAACAAGTCTTATCTTTATCAATTGTATCATCGCCTAAGTTGTGCATAGTATTTTATGAGCAAATCATCTCCTAATTTGCAACCCCACTCCCCTATCCTCCTTTCCGCACTTTCCGACTGCACCGAATCGCAGGAAATAACTTTCTGAACCGTTAAGTGTTTTTGTCCTGACTGATACAAAGCAAGTTTTACTGTAGAACTGTACCCATTATGAATGTTTAAAAGCTCCCACCCGTAACAGACGGCTTCTATCCGTAACAACACCTAATTGTTGAAATAAGGAGGTCTCACAAAACATATTTGGGAATCAATCTACATATAAAAGCAGACTACACTATAACATGTTTCAAGTCTACCAAGCTATGGTATGCTGGAAGTGCAGTACGCTGACTTCCCAATATCCTGTGTATAGCAGGCAGCTCCAGAAGACCTTCCATTCAGCAGTGCCCCAAGAAACATTGGAAATGCTCACAAGAGTGGATGTCAGTTTTCTGCATGCGGTGTAGCTTGCCTAAAGTGACATTAACTGATGACCTGAAAGCACTGACTAGTAGCCATAATTGTAGCGCTCCTCACTATAATAGTCTATAATTTTAATGTTATATATACACACACATATACACACAATATTTACAGTTAAATTTGCAGATGATACCAATTTGGGAAGAACCCTGGAGTCAGAGCAAGTAGCAACGATATTCACAACAGAGCTTGATAGGGTATGCACTGGGCTGATAACTGGCAAATTATGTTTAATACAGATAAATGTAAGGTATTACATATAGGAAGTAAGAATAAGAAACACAAGTACTCCATGGAAGGGATAGTACCAGCAAAGGGAGAAGTTGAACGATCTAGGGGTGTTAGTTGACTTTTTACTCACTACATCAAAACAGTGTGAGGCAACAATGAACAAGGCAAGCAGGATGATTAGTTAAATTAGTTGCTAGATTAGTTGAGTTTAGATCCCAACACATCATACTCAAGCTACACAGTGCTGTGGCCAGGCTGCAGCAAGAGTACTGCATACAGTTCTGGTCATTGGGACATTAGGGAGCTGCAGAGTATCTTTATTATTATTATTGGGGGCTGCAGAGTAGAGCAACAAGGATGAGCCAGTGTTAGAGAAGTGAGCCTGGAGCAACGATTAGACAAGTTAGGGCTCTTCAGTCTTGAGAGATGTCTCAGGGGGATTATAGAGGCCTATAAAATATTAGATAGGATTGAAAAGTGTAATTAACAACTGGAAGAGGTTGCCAGGTAGGGTGGCTAAGGACAGGACACTGGAATCATTTTAAAAACACAGCTTGATGCTGTAGATGGGAGGATGGTAGAGTGAATATTCTAGCAAGATGACATCAGAGGACCTTCTTCACCCAAACTAATCAAGTAATAGCTTTACTTCACATCAATCCTTTGCTGAGTGAAAAGCCCTGTTCCCCATCCAGCTTCACTAGTTTCACTGTAAAGCCACCTAAACTGTGTTTAATCAATCCTCATGGAAAAGTGAACACGTCAAATAAAAGATCAAGCTTGATTGAAATAGTTACCAACACTCGGGCGGCTGATAACATTCACATGAAGAATGACCATTTACACAAGATACCAGGGGCTGCCGGCACCTTTGGAATTAATTAGTCTTCTGGGATGTGGGAAGGGGCAGGATTAAGAAATAATATATTTTCCTTAATATTTTCAAAACTCACCCCAAGTGATTCTTTATCCATGATCTTTACAGCAACTTTTTCACGTGTTAGAATATGGTGCGCCAGTTTTACTTTGGCAAATCCACCTGGCGGAAAATAAATCATGATCTTTAAACAAAAGGTTTCAGTGAAACGGTGATCATACATAAATGAATTTTGAACTTTTAAAAAAAGTCTGCAATACACGTAACCAGATTTGGTCAAAAACAATATTCTTCCCTTCCTCAAACTCATCTCTATCTCTTCTTCCCTTCATCTCCACTTAACCCATTTACAAAAAGTTTCCCTTTATAACAATATGGCATAGAGACACAGTATGAGATTGCAAAACTTAAACGGCTGTCAACATAAATAGGGACAGAGATAGAAATTGATATGGGGAATATTTTTTTTAAATCTGAGAATGAATATACAGCAATTAATTACCCCATAAAGCATCGCACAAGAACGCAGGTTCGCTTTTAAATTAGTTGCAACTCTGTTACCTATATTATCCACCTGTACCAAACCCCACACCTATTCAACCCAGTTTTGTCAGGCTTCACTGGTTGGTTCCCTGTTGCAGAACAGGTCGATTTCAAGATCTTAACACTAACTGATAAATCAATTCCCTAGCACCTCCCTACCTGCTTACACCCCTCTCCCGTACTCGCCCCCTTCACTCAGCTGGCTAAAGCTTTCTACACATCCCAAGGTCTCCTCTGCTCTACCACTGGCGGCTGTGCTTTCAGCCACTGGGTCTGAAACTCTAGAAACTCTCTGCCCCATTCCCTAACCCACAAAATGAATTATCAATTTTATTTGGAGGATTTTGGGCCAGAAACACTTTTCTTTTCAAATAGTTTCATGGGACCTTAAACATCCACCTTCACAGATGGAAGGGACCTTGATTTAACATCTCACTTGAAGGAAGGACGGATCTCCAACAATATAGCACACCCCCTACACCAGATCAAAATCTTGACGAAATTACAACATTCAGAGGTGAGAGTGCTACCAACGGTGCCAGGGTCTGAGCTGATAGATGGACAACCAAGCTACATAGCCACAAGCATTGAAACCTCTCCCAAAGTAGCACCATGGTGTACAATTTTGGCAGAAGCCAGAACTGCTTTCACGGGTACTTGCAGGAAAACAACGCTTAGTGAATCTCTCTATCAGGTCCAATTCACTTGGCTCCCAGGAAGGGACTACTATTTAAATGGTAGGAAAATAATCTGTACCGAAAATGAAAAGGACCTGGGGATCCTGACTGATAATAAATTGAAGCAATCCAAACAGTGCTCGATATCAGTGAGTAAGGCAAACCAGATGCTGGACTGTATTAAAAGGGCAATATTGAGCCAAAATAGTGGGGTAATCCCATCACTTCATAAATCACTGGTGCAACCGTACTTGGAATACTGTGTGCAGTTCTGGTCACTGCAACATAAAAAGGATATTGCAGCGATTGAGAGGATACAGAGAAGGGCAACCAGAATGATTGAGTGGATGGAGGGACTGGACTATGAGGAGCGATTAGATAAACTGGTCATGTTCACATGAGAGAAGAGAAGGTTGAGGGATGATATGATTATGGTTTTTAAGATTCTAAAAGGAATAGTTAATGGAGACCATGATAAGCTGTTTTATCTCGTACTGAACAGTAAAACCCAAGGGCATGGCTGCGATTGAAGGGAGTTAAATTCAGAATAAATCTGAGTAAACACTACTTCAGTGAGCGAGTAATAAACTTATGGAACAGACTCCCTAGGGAGAGAGTGGCAGCAGAAAATGCTTGTTTCAAGAACAAATTTGATAGATTTCTGCTAGAAAATAAAATCTCAGGATACAATATATAGTTTGGAACACGAGATGTCAAGCGATTGCCAGGATGGTGCAAGGTGAACTAGATGGACATTGGTCTTCTTTCGCCTAGAAAATTCTTATGTTTTTATATGTTGCTCTGTAAGAAGTAATGCCCTAGAACTCCTACAATAATGCCCTACAAATAATTTGAATTTGAATACAAGTTTGGATGAGGAGGGAAATATAAATAGGATAACTAGGTGAAAGACTTCACGTTTCCTTAAAATAGAAATTTACCTTCACCTGAATCACAAGGTAAAAAGAAACTAAATTAATATCAAAAATGGGCTGACAATTTGGACATGAATAAATTTGTATATAATATAAAATGTTGTGTAAACAGAAGCGGCAGCCAACCTGTGATAGAACATCCCACACACACAAGCAAAAGTAAAATATTCGTCAAGATAAACAATAATGAAGGGAAGAGACAAAGTGTAAAAATGTCTCAATTGGCTGGACTCAAAAAATTATTTTCAGTCAATTTTGAAAGCATTGTTTTGTTTACGTATAATAGTTCTGAATCATTCTGTTTACTTTATTTGTATGCCTAAGTTTTCCTCACACGGTATACAATGATAAGTAATAAGAAACAATAGGCAAAAAATCATGATGTTAATACATTTACTGGATATGTATACACTATACATATTTAATAGAATTGGTAGATATAAGAACAGTACATCTGTCTAGAAATGCCACTGCTGCATATTACTCAATATATTCTGCATCACCATAGAATATGCCTAAAACTTTAATCACAGTTGACTTGCAGATGATAAAAGCACAAGTTCATAAAATATGCACTGTTTCATGGAGATGCACTGATTTGAAATAGTTTGTATATTTTCACTGGGACCTAAACCTACTAAATAATTGTTGTACTGCTGTTTGTGAAACACATTTTTTAAATATAATTTACAGCCCCATATTTATGAATTTCAGTTTTACAGCCAATTTGTCCTTAAAATGTTACACAGCTTTAGAATTCTATTTTATGATCAGCAATGTTAGGTGAGAGAGTTGCAACTAATTTAAAAGCGAACCTGCATTCTTGTGCGATGCAGGTTAAAAAGTAACTAAAAAAAAGGGAGTTAAACTTGACAAGGTTTCATGGCTCCACAAGTAGCCGTTTTGGGGTCAGCCGGGTTCCTGACACGTGCAGAAACCTTTCAGCTGTGTTTAAGAATATCCAAACCATATAGATACACACATGTGGATAGAGTTCCACATATGTATGCCACTTACACATAGAAATTTCCGTGTCCAGAACGCAATGCACACCCACTCCCCGGAAGAACAGATGTTGCTTAGCTAATTCCAGAGAATATTAGGTGCAGGTATGCAAGAGCCAACACTTGGGGACCCCAGAGTATGTGTGTGTCCTGTAGTGGATACACCTGGAATACAACCAGCTAAAACCACATAACTTGCCACCGAGAGCATTGCTTGTCCAACTGCATCCTTATACATAATAAAGTTATACATTATCTCCTACAACCTACCTGCACCGATGGTTTCATGCAGCTCATAATGTTTAAGCAGCTCTTCATTATCAATAGCCATGATGAACAGTTAAAATTCCAAGCCGTCAGCACCTGAAACACATAAATAGTATTATTGTGACAAGGTTATGATTTGAGGACCTTTACATGAGTGTTATACAGTAAACTCCTGATAATTCAACCCTGCCTTAAGTTGTTACTAGCACTTAAGTCATCAGGCTGTCAATATCCCAGGCGTATTGATGTATGTACTTATACATGTCTAACTCGTCACACTGGATAACCTGTCCCTGGGCTATTTTCCCCTTTGGACTGACGAGTTATCAGTTTACTGTACATTTAAAAGGGCCGATGGCGACTTGGCGAGCTTTGTTACTTTGCTTCCCTGTATAATTATTTTGCAAATCATTTATATAGTAATTGGCATTAAATAAGTGGGGATGTCAACCACAGAATGATCCCAGGGCTTACAGGTTTAAATTATGAGGACACGTCGCATAAACTCGGTCTCGATTCCCTTGAGTTCAGAGGGTTGAGAGGTGATCTAATTGAGGTGTTCCAAATGATTTAAGGGATCGATGGGGTAGATACAGAGAAACCATTTCCTCTGGTGGGGAATCCAGAACATGGGGCATGATCTTAAAATTACAGCTCGGCCATTTAGGAGTGAAATCAGGAGGCAGTTTTGCACTCTGGTCTCCCCCCCCCACCCCTCTCTGTCCCCCACCCCTCTCCGATCGCCCACTTCTCTGTCCACCCCTCGCTCCTCTCTGAAACCCCCCACCCCAACCTCCTCTCTGTCTCCCCCCCCCTCCTCCCTGTCTCCCCCCCCCTCCTCCCTGTCTCCCCCCCCTCCCTCTCTCCTCCCTCTCTCCCCCCTCCTCCCTATCTCTCCTCCCTGTCTCCCACCCCCTCCTCCCTGTCTCCCACCCCTCCCTCTCTCTTCCCCCCCTCCCTCCTACCTCTCTCTCCCCCCTCCTCCCTCTCTCTCCCCCCCCTCCTCCCTCTCTCCTCCCTCTCTCCCCCCCTCCTCCCTATCTCTCCCCCCCTCCTCCCTCTCTCTCCCCCCCTCCCTGTCTCTCCCCCCCTCCCCCCTGTCTCTCCCCCCCTCCCCCCTGTCTCTCCCCCCCTCCCTATCTCTCCGCCCCTCCTCCCTGTCTCCCACTCCCTGTCTCCCACCCTCCCCCTCTCTCTCCCCCCCTGTCTCCCCCCCCTCCCTGTCTCCCTCCCTGTCTCCCCCCCTCCCTGTCTCCCTCCCTGTCTCCCCCCCCCCTCTCTCTCCCCCCCTCTCTCTCCCCCCCTCCCTGTCTCCCCACTTTTTTTTCCTGCCTCTCCTTTCACTCTCTCCCCTCCTCCTCCGCCGCTCACCTTTCCTTCCCTCTGTTGCTGTCCGGAGCGGCCGTTACTCCTCGGGTTGTTGCTGCCGCCGTTTTTTTTGAACTGTTCGAACGCTCGAATCCGGCCCCGCCTCCCGCCCCGCCCCCTGACGTCACTTCCTTTCCCCGCCCCGCTCCAATCAGATCAAAGCGGGTTGGGCCAACGCGGGGAGGGAGGCGGGGCCAGAGAGAGACAGACGACGACAACAACAACGCCTTGGGTGGACGTCCCGAGGCGCTGGACAGGCGGAGTTACTGACCCGAGCTGAGGGTCCGGGGGGAGGGCAGGCGGAGGAGGGGAGGAGTGGCACGGGCCAAGAGGAGGGTCTTGAAGGTGGCGAGGGTCGGGGGAGGCCGGGCGGAGGGACGGAGGAGACCGGGCGGAGGGACGGAGGAGGCCGGGCGGAGGGACGGAGGAGACCGGGCGGAGGGACGGGGGAGGCCGGGCGGAGGGACGGGGGAGGCCGGGCGGAGGGACGGAGGAGGCTGGGCGGAGGGACGGAGGGGACGGGGGAGGCCGGGCGGAGGGACGGAGGAGGCCGGGCGGAGGGACGGGGGAGGCCGGGCGGAGGGACGGGGGAGGCCGGGCGGAGGGACGGGGGAGGCCGGGCGGAGGGACTGAGGAGGCCGGGCGGAGGGACTGAGGAGGCCGGGCGGAGGGACGGAGGAGGCCGGGCGGAGGGACGGAGGAGGCCGGGCGGAGGGACGGGGGAGGCCGGGCGGAGGGACGGGGGAGGCCGGGCGGAGGGACGGGGGAGGCCGGGCGGAGGGACGGGGGAGGCCGGGCGGAGGGACTGAGGAGGCCGGGCGGAGGGACGGAGGAGGCCGGGCGGAGGGACGGAGGGGACGGGGGAGGCCGGGCGGAGGAGGCTGGGCGGAGGGACAGAGGAGACCGGGCGGAGGGACGGAGCAGGCCGGGCGGAGGGACGGAGCAGGCCGGGCGGAGGGATGGGGTTCCAGAGGGTGGGAGCGGAGTGGCGGAAAAGGCCCGCCCCGGAGCCCCGCCCAACGGGGTTGGTAGGGGTTTTTAGTGGGGGGGGGGGGTAGTCGAGGGCGTGGAGGGATTTGAAGGCGAGGACCAGGATCTTGAACTGTATCCTGTGTGTGAGGGGGAGCCAGTGAGTGGAGTCGGGTGGGGATGGGGGTGGAGGCGATGGGGTGGCGGAGCCTGGTGCGGGAGAGGACACGGGGTCCCTGCCCCCGGTGACTGGTCTGCCCTTCCAGGTCCTGTCGATGGGCCGGGCCGTCAACAACGGTGCCCTGGAATACCGCAGACCCCAACCGGCTCGGGAACCCGACTGCTGGAGACCATCGCAGGCGGTCCTCTTGCTTCCAACCCCAAAAGGAGGGCGGTCACTTGGCATCCGACGAGCCTTGGGTTTGAGCCCCCGCCAGGCGGATGACGGCCATCAGGAACACCCCTCGAGCTTCGCTTCCGGGTGGGCCACAGCGCAGCTCAGGGCGAAATGCTTCGAGAGCAGGCGGTTAGAGCGCCCACCTCGCAAGCGAGAGGGCCCTGGGGTTCGATTCCTGGCCGAGACGAAACCACGGGCAAGTTTCCTCACTCGGATCGCTTTTCCGGGGGCAATAATTCTGTCAACAAAAAAATTATAATTAAACTGGTCACTTCAATCCACGACTGTTTGTACGGACGCTGCTGTGCGCAGTTGGCTGTCGCGTTTCGCCCACAGAATACGTGGCCAGTTCGCTTTACAGTATATCCTGTGAAGCGCTTTGAGGCGTCTCGAAGACATGATAAGGCGCAATATCAAATGCAAGGATTATTATTATCTTCCTGCCCACATTCAGACACGCATCAACACCAACAACAACTTGCATTTATATATGGCGATGATTCCTCTAATTGGAGGTGTGGAGCTTAAGCAGCAGCTGCTTACCTCTCTGCAAACTAACCCGAGGCACCACCCTGCATGAAGGACACAATAAAAAAAAATCCAAATTGTTGTAATCTTGGCTGATTCCAAGCACTGGATGTTTGAACGTGCGTTCACGACCTCGGACCACCGCAATCGCCTGCCAACAGCTTTCTCCCCAAGCGTTAGAGTTTCCTCATCAGCTGTCTGATGGACATCTGCCTGAAGGGAGCATGACAGCGTGCAACGTGCCAGCCACCTTGATGTTTTCGAGGTCCAAGTTCAATGCCGGATATGGATTGGCTGTGGTTTGGGGGTGATAGGCGGGAGTCAGTTTGTGCAATATCCCACAAACAGCCATGTCTGTGGAATATTGCTGTGCGCAAACTGGCTGCCGCAAGTGAGTGAGTACAGTTAGGTAAGTGAAAAATTTTATTAGGGGGATTTGTTGCCCAGGACACCAGGAGAAACTCCGTTCTCTTTTCGAATAGTACCATGGGATCTTTAACGTCCACCTGAACAGGCAGACGGGACCTCGTTTTCACATCTCATCCGAAGGACGGCACCTCCATCACTGCATTGGAGAGTCAGCTTAGACTATTCGATTCAAAGTCCTGACGTGGGGCGTGAATCCACAACCTTCTGACTCAGAGGCGAGCGTGCTACCACATGTGTGGACCATTACAATAAGTTTCTAGATGCCTTGAACAGTGGGAGGTTTAATTATCAGCACAGTTAGATGTATGCAGTAACTCTGGGACCAGTGGGATACAGGAATAATTAACTGAGCAACATACACAAAACACAAATCAAAAGCTTGACAGATAAGTGAGTTGCATGCTTCCCCATGATATAAAATGATATATTTCAACATAATCTATAAGTCACAACATGGCAATTCAATATGCACAACATTTATGTTTGGAACAGTACCAAATTGAAGGGATTTTTCCAAGAAAGAAATCCAGTGATTAACATTATCGCAGATCAGACTGGTGAACATTCATTTGATAATATAGTTCACTATTAGACACATAAAGTAGTATTAAAATTATAGTACTGGTGGTAGGTGGTTGCAGGAAGTGAGTAAATGTGGTAAATATGAGATGAACAGACAAATTAACTGATTTTGATGGGATTTGTCTGATGCAGAAATGTTGGCCAAGACATCAGGAGGATTTACTATTCCTCAACATAAAACCACTGAACTACCAGAATGGGCAGATGGGGCCTCAGTTTAATTTTTCACTCAAAGGATAGACCTCTAGCGATGTAGCAGTTTCTCCCAAATCCACTGCTCTATCAGTCTAGATTATGAGCTCAAATGTTAACATGGGACTTGAACCATAACTGCTGCCAAAGAGCATAAAGTGCCATCAAATGAGCTGCACAGACCAAAATGTTTCTAAGTTTGCATATGCTGATTTAGTTAACCTTAAATGAAGGCCTTCGAATCCCCAGGAAAAAAAAAAGACAAAACAGCAGGTGTAATTCCTCCTCTCGATTGCTATCCAGTGAACTTGCTAGAAAATGTCTGTGCATTTTTGGTGAGGATGGATTGCAGAAATCCCTGGACATTGTCTCAGTTCACATGTAGGACGTCCAGTTGGCCTAGATATTGGAGGACTCCAGTACATATGGAAGAGCCCTGGGACATGTTCCCAACATGATAGGCGCTTTACAAATGTAATTTTGCATTGTACTGCAAGAGCACCATAAAATGTGTTGTTGCTTTAAGAGAAGAGAGCTGAAAATTGGAGTTATTTTGAATCGTTATTAATCATTACCTCACTAACCAGGATAGGAAGTTAATAACACCGGATAGTAAATAATAATAATATTCCTTGCATTGATATCGCACCTTAACACGTCGTTGAGACATCTTAAGGCTTTCACAGCATGTACTGTACTGTAAAGTGGTATGACTCTATATATTTGAAGGCAACAGGAGCAGCCAACTTGCGCACATCAATGTCCCACACACATGGAATAAATGACCATTTTATCCAGGAGACTGTTGGCCCCAGGTCCACCTGTTCAAATGATGCCACGGAAATTTTAACATTCGTCTGGACAAACAGACAGGACCTCGGTTTAACGTCTCATCTGAAGATGGGTTCTCTGACAATGCAGCACACTCCCAGCACTGTCAGCTTAAGACTCTGAGACACTACCCTGCGAGCAAGTTGTTGTTGTAGACTTTTATATGTGTTCCAATTCCCAACATGGGGCTTGAATTCACAACCTTCTGACTCCGAGGCGAGAGTGCTACCAACTGAGGCAGGCTGACACGGATGATATTATCAGCCAGCTGGTAATGAACATTATTAAAGCTGTTGGAATCCAGTAAGCTCCCCAAAATTGAATTTCAATGCTTATAGTTTTCACACATAAATCAACCATTCCTTCTTATCTTACACCAGCATACTGAGTTAGATCTTATATAAGATTTTATATTTATTAGACCACCCAGGACAGAAAGTAACCTGAAAATAGATTCCAGTGTAATTAGATAATTATCGTCATTTTAGATAATGTTAAAAGTAAGAATACAGATGTCAGAAGCACGTTTTTGTGATCTGAGAAATACATTCAGTAAGGAATGTGAAGAAAAAGAAAAATCTCAAGATGTAGATCACAGTGGTTGAATAAGAAGGCCAATAAGCATTATTCTTCCTCATCTTTTCGTCATTCACAGTTGACGAAGGCTCTTACCTTTTGGGCCTTTTTTTCTTATGATGGCTTCTCGACCCACATGATCCTCTCAGCTGTGAATGGCACATAAGAACATTCTCTGAACTTCATCCTCAGTCCCCTTCTATCATTATCAGCAGCACTGCTAGAGCCCCGCACTAGAAAAACATTCTTTCAGCTGCCACTCACAATGGCCTTTCTTTTGACTTGGTTCGACAATGTTCAGGTTAGTAGACTTGTCGTTTCTGTGTGTCCTTTTATCAACATGTCGTGGTAATACAGCAATAATATCAAATAGAAGGAGATCATTGGTTTCATTTAGCCTATACATACAATTTCCCACAAAATAACCTGTACCAAATGCCTTCCCTGAAAAAAGTTTCTTCCTTTTTTTTATATTCTTTGACTGTCCTTATATTGTAATGATGCTCCTTGGTTTCTGAATTATCTCCACTTCAGAAAATCATATCGGCATCCAATTTTTTGCAAAATCAAAAATACTGTACCATATTCAGGATCCCCAAGTTGGGATCAA